CTCTCTCTCTCTCTCTCTCTCTCTCTCTCTCTCTCTCTCTCTCTCTCTCTCTCTCTCTCTCTCTCTCTCTCTCTCTCTCTCTCTCTCTCTCCCTCCCTCCCTCCCTCCCTCCCTCCCTCCCTCCCTGTGCATGCATGCACATGCACTCCTAGCACAAAAATCACAACTTTTCCCCCTTGCGTTCTTAGCAGTGACTTCCACAGAGGATTCATGATAATACTTCATGTTAGGTGTTGTGACAATAAGATTTAGAGATTGAGTATTTTTACCTTTGGCTAATACCCAGGTTATTAGCCAAGGAACTGATTAAAACCTGCTCAGTTTTGAAAACAGTGAATACTAGAGGTGTTTAGAATAAGAAATATCTGGGCTATTTCTGTGTCTATGTGGCTTCAAGGAAAATTGGCAATCCGTATCTTCTCAGTTGATGGAAGAAACTGCTACAAGCGGGAGAGTCTTAATACGAAGCAACAACTAATATCCTGCCTTACATACTGATGCATTTCCCAGATTTGTATTTTCTGGTTGGATTTGGATGTGTGTGTGAGAGACCACATCTTTTGTGCTTTATTTTCTCTTCCAGTTAGTTGTTTATTTAAATTACATATATTTTTAACTGCTTACAGATTTTTGATACTTTACAAAGTGGTTTGAACAAAGTCTGATGGAAAAGTTACAAATCGATAAAGGGTATGAATTATATATAATGAATATGCATACACATAATACAGGTAGTCCTCGACTTAGAGTTCACTGAGAAACCATTTGAAGTTACAACGGCTGTGAAAAAAAATGGATTACAACTTGTTCTTGCATGTACACAATTGCATTATTCCTGCGGTCATCAAATTTGAGCGGTTGGCAAGTTGCATGTGTGTGTTTCTAAGGGTGGCAGCATCCCAGGGTCATATAATTGCCATTTGCAACCTTCCCAGCTGCCTTCCAACAACCAACATCAACGGTAAAGCTGGATTCTCTTAACAACCATATGATTCTCTTAACAAATGCAGTGAGTCACTTAGTAGCCATGGCGACAAGATCATAAAACCGGGCATGCNCGAATTGGAGTGATTTCTTCAGGGGGTCAGGAGGGGGGAGGGATCTCGAGACCTGGGGTGGCTTTGCCCGGGGGAGGGGTTGTCTAAAGGGCCGTCAACGCCTGAAGGGGACAAGCTCCGTATTAGGGTGGGGCTTGGGATGGGAGACCACGAAGAGATCCCCGGTGGATAGCTTGGCCAGGGAATTAGAAAGGCGTCCCCACTGCCGAGAAAGCTGCCTGGGTGGCTCCTTGTATTCCCCCCCTCCCCCCCAAATCCAACTCTTCGTTGGATGGTTTGGGGATATCGGCCTCCCTTAGATTGGAGGGTTTAAATGTGTGGATTTGAGAGTTTTTGTTCTAAAACCTAGAGGTGAAGCAAAATAGGAGGAAAAAAAATATCCCTGAAAGAAATGGCCACCATCCTTCGCATCTATACAGGTGGTCCTCGAGTTACAACCATTCGTTTAGTGACCGAAGTTACAATGGCATTGAAAAAAAAATGGACTTTTGACCATTTTTCACACTTACGAGCATTGCAGCCTCTCCACAGACGTGAGATTTACATTCGGGTGCTTGACAACTGACTCGTATTTATGACGGTTGCAGTGTCCCGGGGTTCAGGTGATCCCCTTTTGCGACCTTCTGACAAACAAAAGTCCGTGGGGAAGCCAGATTCACTAAACAACCGTACTACTGATTTAAGAACTGCGGTGATTCGCTTAACAAATGTGGTGAGGAAAGTTGCAAAATGGGGCAAAACTCACGTAACAAATTTCTCGCTTAGCGATATAAATGTTGGGCTCCACTGTGGTCGTACGTTGAGGACTACCTACAGGCAGTCCTTCGTATAGAAGTGACTTGCAAGTTCAAACACGGCTTCCTAAAATCTTGTCAGATAAGTGAGTTTCCCCTTGCTTAGCCCCCTCTCATTATGTTGAGATTTTAAACAGTATGGAGTAGACTAGTGCACAGGTGGTCCTCGACTTATGACCACAATTGAGCCCCAAATTTCTGCTGCTAAGCGAGGCAGTTGCTAAGTGAATTTTGCCTCATTTTACAACTTTTCTCGCCATAGTTGTTAGGTGAATCAATGCAGTTGTTATGTTAGGGGCACAATTGTTAACTGAATCTGGCTTCCCCATTGGCTTTGCTTTTCACAGGTTCACAAAAGGTGATCACATGACCTCAGGACACAGCAACCGTCATAAATATGAGTCGGCTGCCAAGCATCTGCATTGTGATCATGTGACCATGGGGAAGTTGCGATGGTTGTAAGTGTTAAAAAGGGTCACGACTCCCTTTTTTCAGTGCTGTTGTAACATCAAACGATCACTAAATGAACTGTTGTAAGTCGAGGACAACCTGTAGTCCATCCACAGGGAAATCTCTTTAGTAGTAATTAGTACTTCTGGAGTATGTTGATGCTCTGTTAAATTATAGCAACATGATATGTGCTTCAATTTCACTATCTGCTCGATAAGAAATGTATATTCGATGTAGGTGTAGTGACCTATATGCTGAGGATTTGTTTGGAAATTCATAATTGAATTATTCCATCGATGAAAATCAGAGAAACAAATCAATAACCTAATTTTTAGATTGGCCGCAATCTGAGATTTCTCTGGACTGTATGTGTTAACCTGGGATAAATCCTGTTTGAATTCATAAGACTTTCCAGAAATAGGCTGTCCTCCTTGTTCCAATATCTAGGCTAATGTTGTTTTCTTTAATCAACAGACAAACACATGAATATGGCACTGTGGTTGTACATGAACAATCATAAAGTTAAAAAGCAATAATAGTTGAGCCACTGTACATCTTTACATATTTTGAGGACTAGGCCCACCATGTTGCATCATAATACACATTTTGGTTTTATGTTAACATGCCATGAAAACGCAGTTTATTGACTTTGTGTATTTAGTGTGTGCGTGAACACATTTGGAAGTTTTCTTTAATTCCAGGAATGTTTTCTCTTTCTTTGCGTAGCAAACAAGAAGGATAAATTGGAGATTATCAAGATGAGCAGAAAGCCTCCACATCGTCCCGGGATCACATTTGAAATTGGTGCTCGCTTGGAAGCCCTGGATTATCTACAGAAATGGTATGGAACCTGATTACAGCTGATCCTCAATTTATGACTGCAACTGAGCCCAACATTTATGTTGCTAAGGGAGACATTTGTTTGTTAAATGAGTTTTGCCCCATTTTGTGACCTTTCTTGCAACAGGTATTGGTTGAATCACTGCAGGTGTTAAGTTAATCCAACGGCTGTTAAGTGAACCTGGTTTCCCCATTGACTTTGCTTGTCAGAAGTTCACAAAAGGTGATCACATGACCCCCGGGGAAACTGCAACTGACATAAATACATGACAGTTGCCAGGTGTCTGAATTTTGATCATGTGACCCGAGGGATGCTGCAACAGTTGTAAGTGTGGAAAACTGACGTAAGTCACTTTTTTCAGTGCTGTTGTAACTTCAAAGGGTTACTAAATAAACTGTTGTAAATCGAGAACTACCTGCATACTGCTGACTTAGTAGAAGACATCTTCATACGATGCATGATAGCTCCATGCCAATACATATTGAAGTAAAGAATTCAGTATACATCACATACCACTTTCAACGTAACCAATTAGTCTGGAAGCTTTTCCAGTTTCTGTATGCAGACATAGACAGACAGGCAGATGCACATAATCACACACACAAACACACGTATTCTGTAGCTACATTTGATTTTGTATTACACAAGAATGAAATTTAAAAACATTGCCAATTTAATGAGTCAGAATCATATACATTACTGTGGGTAACCTTAACAAAACACACTGTTCTCTAAATTGATCTCTTGCCTGATATAAAATCAGCCCCAATGCTTTTTGCTTTTGAAAAAATAGTTTAAAATCTGGTTTTTTCTCTAGGCATTTGGGTTGAGTCAGAAGTCGGGGAGAGGCCTCTTGTGACTTTTTTAATTATCGTGCTTTGTTTCCAATTTTAAGTACTGAGTACTATTTTAATGAAGTTTGGCATGTGTTCTTAATGTTTATTTGTGTTGCACACTGCCCTGGGTCACATTCCTTATAAGCGGTTTGAAATAAATAAATAGTTGCAAGTGTTTCACTTGAAAGACTCATAATATATAGTAGCAAGTGTTTCATCTTGCTCCCATTATCCCTGTTTTTCATGATTCAGTGATTATTTTGCTTCAGATGCACAGTGGGAATAAAAATTCTTTTTTTAAAAAAAAAGAAGCTCTTATACTGTAATAGCTTTATATAATTTTGATGAAGGTGGTCTTGTGTTTGTGCTTAAAAGTTCTTTAAATTTTGTCCTCAATTTTTCTTCCTTTTTTTTAAAAAAAAGCATGAATTTTGCACCATAGGACAGTCATCTATGATTCCTTGATATCCACTGATTCACAAAATATCTCTTTATAAGAAAAAAAAAGTCATCTGTTTTGTAAAAATGGATCCTTTCATAATGCCACATTTGAATGCAGTTTAGAGAAAATAGAGTGGCGCTTGTAATACCTTAGAGACCAGTGAGTAGGCAGCATAAAAATAGCTATCATAAATACACAAATTAACATGAAATGATACCTATATCACACTAATTGATACAAGTAAGAATCGTAAAATAAGAAGATAAATTGGTTGAGACTAAATCGGATTGGGATCAGGAAAAATATGGTCTCTTCTAAAGTATACAAAAGTCACCATTGGACACCCAATGGTTTTTCATCTGTGGAAATACATGATTTTCTTGTATTTAAAAAAAGGATGTTGAGAATTTAAATTGTTCAACTTGATAATAAGCACCTCTTCCTTGAAAGAATGCTTTTATATTCCCCAATCAGCACAAGTACGCAAGAGACTTTTTTTTCCTGTTCACTAATTAATAGAGCAAAAGATAATATTGTCATTAGCTTGGGAGTTTTTCAGAATTGAAATTCAGGAGATTGCTGTAACGAAATGGTAGTTACTGCGGTAGCTCTTAACACCTGATCAACTGTAGATGTACATGTCTGGTTACCTTTCAGCAAATTCAGATTTTAGTGCAATGCATATACTCCACCCCTGTGGATATTCCATTAATACAGGAAATACCTGTTTTTCACATTGTAGAGAAAATAGTTTTCAAATATGGGCCAGGATATTTGATACACTTGCTAGTATAGAATTCCCCGCTAGGTATTTTCATGGAAATAGTGACCCTGCCAAGGAACTTTTGTTGCAGATTCTTGGATTGCAGTATTCCTTGGAATTAAAAAAAAAATTCCTTAAAATTTTTCCTTGTAAAATATCTCGCATCAGGTAGTATAGAAACACCCAGGGTTGTTGCATTTTGGAAACAAAGTATATACAGTGAGGGAAAAGAGTATTTGATCCCCTGCTGATTTTGTACATTTGCCCACTGACAAAGAAATGATCAGTCTATAATTTCAATGGTAGGTTTATTTTAACAGTGAGAGACAGAATAACAACAACAAAAATGCAGAAAAACACATTTCAAAAAATTTATCAATTGATTCCCATTTTAATGAGTGAAATAAGTATTTGATCCCCTATCAATCAGCAAGATTTCTGGCTCCCAGGTGTCTTTTATACAGGTAACGAGCTGAGATTAGGAGCACTCTCTTAAAGGGAGTGCTCCTAATCTCAGCTTGTTACCTGTATAAAAGACACCTGTCCACAGAAGCAATCAATCAATCAGATTCCAAACTCTCCACCATGGCCAAGACCAAAGAACTGTCCATGGATGCCAGGGACAAGATTGTAGAGCTACACAAGGCTGGAATGGGCTACAAGACTATTGGCAAGTAGCTTGGTGAAAAGGTGACAACAGTTGGTGCGATTATTAGCAAATGGAAGAAACACAAAATAACTGTCAATCTCCCTCAGTCTGGGGCTCCATGCAAGATCTCACCTCGTAGAGTTTCAATGATCATAAGAACGGTGAGGAATCAGCCCAGAACTACAGGGGAGGATCTTGTCAGTGATCTCCAGGCGACCATAGTCACCAAGAAAACAGTTGGTAACACACTATGCCATGAAGGACTGAATTCCTGCAGCACCCGCAAGGTCCCCCTGCTCAAGAAAGCACACGTACAGGTCTGTTTGAAGTTTGCCAATGAACATCTGAATGATTCAGAGGAGAACTGGGAGAAAGTGTTGTGGTTAGGTGAAACCAAAATCTAGCTCTTTGGCATCAACTCACTATTTTAGGAGGAGAAATACTGCCTATGACCCCAAGAACACCATCCCCACCATCAAACATGGAAGTGGAAACATGCTTTGGAGGTGTTTTTCTGCTAATGGGACAGAACAACTTCACTGCATCAAAGGGATGATGGACGGGGCCATGTACCATCAAATCGTGGGTGAGAGCCTCCTTCCCTCAGTCAGGGCATTGAAAATGGGTTATGGATGAGTATT